CCAGAGGACACGAAGTCTGCCATCTCTGGCCCTGGCCTGGCAGACATACGGGGTCCCCAGCGCTTCCTTGGGCTCCCACACACCCCTCATGTGTGTACAAACAGGCTGCAGACAGTGAGATGGCAGCAGAAGGCAGTGGCGGGAATCCCGCCGTGGCGCTGGGGAAAGACGAAGACAGACTAGACGCTCTGAAGGCCGCCAGCGGGCAGATGAGCTCTCTGTACAGTTGCTGGTCTCTGCAAACTCCACCCAGAAATGGAATTGGTAAAGCTGACCTCAGTGAATGGCAGTTTCAGAAGAGAGGGGAGAAGCCAAAATTGTGCAGCCATTAGCCAGTGGCCATGTATGTCTGAGGGGCCAGCGAGTGTCCAGTCCTCTTTCTAAAAACAAGCAAAACCCTTGTATTCCCACACAGCAAGTCCCAGAAAGTGGAGAGGTCTTCAGCAGTCAGCAGAGGTCAGATCAGTCTCGCCAGCAGCCGGCTTTCAGAAGCTCCCTCTGGGCACCAGCAATGTGCTGGCTTTACATTACCCCCCAAGAGCCACCCTAAGGATGGGGACGGAGGCCTTTACTGACGACGGTCTGACTGATGGCACAGTTCTCTTTCCCAGTGTCCATGCATGCCAGTAACTAAGAAGGTCCATTTTGGCTTCATACCGCAAAATATATTCCTTATCATTGCACAGCAAGAAAAAGAAGACTAGAAGATTCTTACAGGGCGACCATTAGCCCCAAACCATTATCCTCCACCTGCATCCAAGGAACTTCTTCAGCGTTTCTCGTGAGGACACTTCTCTGGCTTTGAGGGCCTCTGAGTCACAGTTTGAATCATAAGAAAATCAGATTTCTGAGGAGTCGGGAGCTGCAGGCTCTACCTTTCATTTGTGAACAGTCACTCACTAATTTATTTTTCCTGTGAACCAGTCTATTTAGAAGCCTTTTAACTAGGAATACAGCTCAGGGCTCTTGTACCTATTCATTGAAAGATTGGGTTGAGTCCTTCTGAATAGAAAAAGGATAATCATACTATCTGAACAGCCACAGGTAGGCTAATACGTGTGCATGGCTTCAGTATGGGGTCTGTGACATATCACAATGCATCAGCTCCTTACGAGCAGTTCAACGAAGTTGGCTAAGACTGCCATAGTTTCAACTGGAAGCACCCCGCCCCCCAGCTTCCTCCCACCCACTGACCTCAATAAAGATTTCTCACATTCACTGAAGTTGCCTCACAGCTCGCCAACAGGTGTCTGTTTAAATTATGCTTATTAAGATAAAGGTGATTTACAACACTTCATGTTTCAGGGACAGTAAGTCCACACCTCTACCAAAGTATGCTACCACCTACATTTAAGTGTCCTGATAAAACAAACCAGCGGTGCTTAGACACCAAACCTTAGAACAACTGAAAAGTTCCCAAATGTTGGGAGAAAGAGAAACATAAATCCTTCCTCTCTTCAGCAACAGTCACACTGCTGTGATCAGAAAAGGAGAAGGGGAAGCAGGAGATGGCGAAGGGGCAGGGGAGGGGTGAGAAGGGGGGGCACAGGGAGAGCAAAGCTCTGTCCCAGCAGAAGTCACAGGACCCATAGCTTAGTTCGTCTGACCTCTCATGGAAACCTGGTCTCTGCGTCAGGACAGGCACATGGTTCACATCATCAGATCACAAAGGAAGGGGCTTGCATGTCTCGAGGAGGGGGATGTCACTAGAAGATACACAAATATTCAACCCCGGCTAACCTCCGCAATAAAAGTAGTCACACTCCTCCCCAGCCCATGACTGCAAAGGATTAAGCAAGGGCTTTTGTTGATTATTTATTCCTCATTGTGGATGCAAATTTATGGTTGGTTTTCTGTAACATTAATAAAAGAAAATTGTATATCTACTACACATATAAACACTAATTAGGAGGAAAAGAAGAAAGAAAAAAATCAAAGTGGCTGCCAGTTTGTAACTGTAAGCGGGTCTCACAGATTACATAAGGCAGACAATGGAAAAATAAATATTGAGATACTGTGGGGGTGGGAGGTGACTTTTGATTACAGCTTTCCATTCTTCTAAATAACCATGGGGGAAAATCTCTTTTTCTAATACTTCATACATGTATACACATTTTCTTCCAAATAAGAGAGCAATTCTATTATTTCTCAGACTGCAAATAAAATTACTATAACTTACTTTTCCATTTGGATTCATCTTTCTTATAGAAGACGACATTTAGAATCTGATAGAATTTATTTTATTGAGGGTTAGGCACAGTAATTTTGTTGTAATTTGCTACAATTAAAAAAACAAACCAGTAGGGTTTCATTTCATCATTGTTTTCCTCCTACTCAGAATCCTTCCAAATGCATAGTCAGTAAAACTGAAATATCAATGATTCCATTAATTTCCCAACACTGTGTCAGGGTGATTGGAATCTCTGGAATCTTTGGAAAGGAACTACCACATCAATTGTGAGATATATACGAAAAGAAAATATTCTACAGTGCAGTTTCAGGTGCAAAAAGGCACAGCTAATGCCAATCACTACCATGAAAATCCTCTAACGTATTTCAATATGAAAGCCATCATACATTTTAAATACCGTTCTATTATTTCCTTCACTTCATTCAAAAAGTCTCTACAGTCCTAAAGGACAGGGTTCAGTTCATCTCCTAATCTTATTCCATTCTAGCCCAAAGGCAGACACAGCATTGATTCAATATGTGCTTTCTGAGTTAATGAATGAACTTGACCAAGAAGCTAAACAAAAACAGCTCATTGATTAGATCAAGAGCTGTGAAATCTGATTAAGATGATCTGAATTATATTCCAAGTCTTGCACTTTAGGGATAGTCCTTGCTGGGAGGGCCAGAAAACCTTCAAAGCAGCTCATTAAAAACAAAAAATGCAAGTAAAATCCAGAACCATAAAAGACATCAAAATGGCTTTCGCGCAATATTAAAGCGGAATCCTATTACTACAACGTTTGCAAAGGACAAATGATATTGTTACCATCTTAATAATGTACTTATTGGAAGCAATGTAGGGTATACACTTTTGAAGAGTGTTTTTCAGTGGATGGGGAAACATGTAAACAAGTGGTTATTTAGCTAGGACCCTCTGATGGCCTATAGGTGTGTTTCTCTCCACTGGTTCTGGCTCTGATCTGGCTCCAGGTGTCCACGGCTCCCATATCCAACCCACGCCCAGCTTGCTACCCTCATTCCAGTTGGATCTGACACCTGAGAGTGGAATACAGACACGCTTGCTGAAGGAAGAAGCACCAGAGAATCTGAGGCCCCAGAAACCTGGAAGTCTCCTAGACACGCATTCGAGATGGATGAACCTCTGTCCTTGTTCCAGAAAAGGAGCCAGTTGTTTAAAAAGACACTGTGCCCCTTGGTTTAATTTTCCGGGTGCCTCAAGAGAAATCTTTTTTTTTTTAAAGATTTATTTGTGCATATAGAACTGTGGTACAGGCCAGAGGTGCAGAGGTGGTGAGAAGATTCACCAGAAATAGAGTGGGGAGCAGTACAGACCAACCGACAGAGCACACTGCTGAGGGGAGCTGTGGGCCGGTCAGGAGGTCTGCCTCGCCCTGTGGTCACCTCTGGGGCAGGCAGGGATCGAACTCGTGCTGAAGTGGCTTTAGCTTCTTAGTGCTGTGCTTTGACACGCTGCACCACCAGGGAGGACATGAGAAATCTTTTTTAATAGTCACATTGATTTAACTATT